TGACCATGATAGAAGGGTGTCCGAACACACAATGCATCACAGTTTGCTGCTTAAGGGGCAAGGTAGCTGCAGGCTGGTCAGAACTGGACCATGGAGCAATGGAAGAAGGTTGCCTGTTCTGATGAATCACATTTTCTTTTAGATCAGGTGGACTGATGGGTGCATGGGCATCGTTTACCTGGGGAAGAGATGGCAGCAGAATGCACTATGGGGAGGTGGCAGTTTATGCTTTGTGCAATGTTCTCCAGGGAAACCTGCCAAGAATGGGGTACAGTGGCATTGTGGCAGGCTTATGCAATGTATCATTATATACTGTAACGAAACCTCCATTATTTTTGCCTTATATTGTTAAATATTACATTCTGTGAGCTTTGAATTGCTGTTTAGTGAATTAGAGAGTTAGAGAGTGAACTGGATCTTGTATATATATAAATACACAGAGAGTGATCCTGATAAAAGTTTGGGTTGCAAACTGAAACGTCGTTCTCTTAACTATGGACATTAAAAGTTATGTTTTATTTTAAATATTCTGGAGTCCTGAGAGTGCCATCTTCATGCTATTTTGTATATATATAAAGAGAGTGAGAGATATCTGACTTCTGTTTTATTTTGGCCCCATCCTACCCCCTTGTGTCTATTCACCCTGTCTTTCCAATTTCTACTGGCATTAGAACCGTCACAGAATCATCACATGCACAACAACGAGGTGTCCTCCATGCATCTTTTTCTTACCTGTCTTCGACAGGCGCAGTGTCTGTATGTGTGTAGAAAGAGTGTAATGTCACTTCTTATCCATTCTCTCATTATTTTCCCAAGCTGACTTACAAAGAGACCTGGCAGTGAGAACTTTAATACTGCCGGATTCTGCTGGAGGGAGAGTTTTAACTCTGACAGGTCTCGTAGGGCTGAGAAGGGGGATATTTTGAAGACAGAGCCGAATGGCGCACCAGGCCCCTATCAAAGCCTGAGTCCTAGACGGCTGCGTATGCCGTCTTATAGGTAATCTATTTCTGATTGGTGCTGCAGGAGTAGGAAATTGTGCTATCATATATTCCTGCAGCCTTCATCAGTATGGTCTGCACAAGCATCTGAGCGAGCTATAAACATAGACTCTCTTTCTTTGGGTACTCCTTAACCACAAGCAAGCACCTCTGCACCACACATGCTCATCACATTCTTCTAGCTAGATTGGACCCGGATTAGGGTGTCTCTAAGGAAATATCCCAGTGGTATAGTCCTAGCCTGGAAAGCACCGAGATTTTGGCCTCTAGCCCAAGAACAAGCACACACAGTGACAGGCTTGCAAAGGCCTTACACAGTTTGTGCCTGCAGCCTCACTCCTGCAGTATTTTGCAATAACACATCCCAAAACACCTCCAAATGATTTTAATCAGCAGAGGAATATTGCTTTGAGACTTTTGCCCCCAATCCCTTTATGCCAGGTGGCCACAGGGTAATTGCCCCCTTTGTATGCTTAGCAAACTCCCTTAAATTATCCATGTGGACACATCAACTAACATTTAATGAACTCACAACTGAAATGACCTTCTTTATTAAATCATTATGTGTAAATTTATGTGACATGGTAACATTTAAAATTTTGCTTATTTAATTAAAGGAATGGTTAAAATCATTTGACCCCCGAATGAGTTAAAAACAGGCATCTTAGCAGAAAATAGTCAGGGTTATTTGCCAAAATGGTAATTGTTGGGAATTGAAAAATAATTCAAAGTGAATTTTAAACTAATAGAAAATAACTAATTAAAAACATAGCTGACCATGAAGACCCTGACTATGTAACAGTGAACATCTCTCACCTACTTCTGACAACTGGATTAGTGGCTGAGATTGTTAAGACATACCAGAAAAAAAAATCAATGGTGGCTGTTAGTGAATCAGGAGTCCGGTTCTCTGGCTTCTTGTGGTGAGAGAACATAGGAACCTATTTAGGGCCCCTTTATTGGTTTGATACAGAAATATATCATGAAGCTGGCCTGTTCAGAATAAAATGGTACAATCAATATTAATTTTAAAGGAAAATAAAACATAGTCACCTAAATTACTTTAGCTAAATATGGCAGTTTTAGTGTATAGATCATTCCCCTGCAATTTCACTGCTCAATTCACTGTCATTTAGGAGTTAAATCACTTTGTTTCTGTTTATGCAGCCCTAGCCACACCTTCCCTGGCTATGATTGACAGAGCCTGCATGAAAACAAAACTGGTTTCACTTTCAAACAGATGTAATTTACCTTAAATAATTGTATCTCAATCTCTAAATTGAACTTTAATCACATACAGGAGGCTCTTGCAGGGTCTAGTAAGCTATTAACATAGCAGGGGATAAGAAAATCTTAATTAAACAGAACTTGCCATAAAGAAAGCCTAAATAGGGCTCTCTTTACAGGAAGTGTTTATGGAAGGCTGTGCAAGTCACATGCAGGGAGGTGTGACTAGGGTTCATAAACAAAGGGATTTAACTCATAAATGGCAGAGGATGGAGCTGTGAGGCTGCAGGGGCATGTTCTATACACCAAAACTGCTTCATTAAGCTAAAGTTGTTCAGGTGACTATAGTGTCCCTTTAACAATGGTTTGTTAAGTCTTTGTGCAAATTATGAAAGAATGTGCAATTCACTTTTTTGATGCACTGTATAGCATTTTTCTTTGCAAATTCTCATTAAAAAGTTAAATGTAAATAGCTAAAATCCCAAAATGTACATTCATAAATTGCGAGTGAAAATGAATGCCCTTGGTAATGCTAGCACACAATTTGAAAAAAAATAAAACAAATTGGTACAATACCATGAATCAGGGGAGGGCTGGCAGCCTTAGGCCTGGGGGGCAAAACCAGTCAAGTGGCCCATTGCACCACCAAATCAGTTCACCATCCATGCCCACCTTTTCCTGGTTTTATAACGGATATTGATGTTATGCTAATCAGTAGCTCTTTGCCATACCCGCTCCTTCACGGCTCCAGGCACTGCTTGTTGTGAGTGTGAGCCACTGTAAATTAGGGGCAGAGGGCACTTGCACTGCGGTAAAGATGGGGCTGGACAGGAGGAGAGTGCAGTGCAATCAGTGCACTCCCCTCCTGTGGGTCACCAGTAGACTGGTGCACCTGCCCAGGATCAGTGCCGGTGCAAGGATTTTTGCCGCCCTAGACAAAATAAAAATTTGCTGCCCCCCCATGTGACATCACAATGCCCCACCCATATGAACTAACGCCAGTGCTGCACACAGTGTGTGTTTACATTAAAAAGCCTGCAGGGACCAGCTATAGACACCAGAACCACTTCATTAAGCTATAGTGTCCCTTTAATGTGAGGTACATTATAGATTAGTGTCACTAATAATATACTAGATTGCCTACTTACAAGCAGATGAGGATGATGATGGGCTGCAGTTTGGCTCCACTGGTCTGGTGTAGAACAGGATCTCTGGAGGCTGTTTGCAGCTGTGGTCACAAAATTCAATGTTCTGGGAGAATTGGAAGCAGCTCCATTTTTTGGGGCCCCTTACACAGCTCAAGGTCTGGGCCCCAGGGCCTGACGGTGAGTATGCCCATAAGGCCCACTCATAAGTTCCACCCACCCATGAGTTCGCTCACAGGGAGTGGAGTGTGTAGGGGATGTGTTATGGGTTATTATAGAGGATCTAATATGTGTGCTTATGGTATGTAGTGTATAGGGTTACCAGTTTGTGCAGGTGATGTAGTGTGTTTGTGTGTAGTGGAAGCAGTGTGTATTTGTGTATAAGGGATGTATTATGTGTTTCTGGTTGTGTGTAAGGGATGCATTGTGTGAATCTGTGTTTGTATGCATAAGGGATGCAAGGTGTGTGTCTGTATGTGTGTGCATTGAGTGTAAGAGATGCATTGTGTTTCTGTGTGTATGTAAGAAAAGAAGTGTGTGTGTTTGCATATGTGTGTACGGGTTTGCATTGTCTGTTTCTGTGTATGTGTGCAAAGGATGCATTGTCTTTGTGTGTAAGGGTTGCATTGTGTGTGTGTGTGTAATGGATGCATTGTGTGTTTCTCTGTGTGTAAGGGAAGCATGTTGTGTTTCTGTGTATGTATAGGGATGCATTGTGTGTGTGTGCGCGCGCGTAGTGTGAAAGAGCTCCCTGTCTTGGCCCCTGTCCTATAGAGCTGCCCCTTCTGTCCCGTAGAGCTCTCCCCTGCACCTTAGTGGTCTCTCCTCTCCCCCACCCTCCCCTAGCGGTCTCTTCTCACACTCACCCACCCTCCCTGTGCTCTTCTCACTCCTCCCTCTATGTGTTCTCCTCACACCCCCTGTGTTCGTCTTACCCCCCTCCTCCCTGTGTTCTTCATACTTCCCCCCTTGGTCGTCTTACTCCCCCACCTGTTCTTCTTACCCCCCTTCTTCTTATTGCTCCCCCTTCTTCTTCTTACCCCTTCTTCTTTCTTTCCCTCCCCCTTCTTCTTCTTACTCCCCCCATTTCTTCATACTTCACCCTTCTTCTTACCCTCTTCTTCTTACTCCCCACTCTTTTTCTTACTCACCCCTTTTTCTTCTTACCCCCTTCTTCTTCTTACTCTCCTTCTTCTTCTTACTCTCCCCTT